CATCGAGTACAATGAACTTCACTCCTCACACAACCGTTCTTCCCAAAATGATAAAAATATTTCCAATAAGTCATGTCTTTTGATCTTTAGTTTTTTTCATGTATAACTAGAAAATGCAGCAGAAGTCCAGCTGTGGAAAATTTTTAATACTTTCTCATGTGATGAAATGGGACTCTTTTTCTCCTTGGAGAAAAATCAATTAGGTTTACCTGTTTTTATTTTTTTCCAAATGTATACAAAATAAAAATTACTAATGTCACAGTATACAGGAAGCTTTTCAGTGCTTAGTCTGTGTCAGCGCTTTTTCTAGATAGTGGGAATGCAGAAAAAAGAAGACTTAGCACCTAAGTGCTATCTTAAAAAGATCACCAGTAGGTGAGAGACACTAACCAATAAATGGTATCATATTGTAGGCTATACTTAAGCAATGGGCATTAATGATACCTTTAGGTCTTCTAGGAATGCCACAGTGAATAAGTGACTTTGACTTGATGTTCCAGTATTAAGATACATGTTTCTTACATGATAGTGTATGATTTTTTTAGAAAATAAGATATTAATTTTTGAAGAGCATTAATAAAGCTGTGTTGAATACATATGTAAACTGATACCTGATTCCCCTATTTACGCAATAGAAAGATTGTAATTGCAATTGGCCAAGGCCATGTGATTTGCTTTGGTCATTGGAAGATAAGCAGTCATGAAGAGTGAAAAATTTCTCAGAAGCTTTTCATTGCCAGCACTTCAATACTACATTACACTGCTTTGGCAATCGCTAAAATGTATATATTTTTTTTTCTTTTTTTTTTTCTTTTTTTTTTGCTAAAATGTATATTGATGGGAAGGTAAATTTCAGAGCAACCCCCTACACAGAATTCTGAAAATATGCTCAGATTTGTGATGAATTTTGCATTAAAACCAGTATCAACCCTTCATTATCAAAACCACCAATACCGAGAAATGTTTCTTTACTGCATCATAATCTTGCCTATCCTAAATGACACACTCATTGTATTTAGGGGCAAGGAAGATATATTCTTTATAAGGCAAGCATTGCTCTTCTGAAAATAGATTCATTCTCCAACGAGTCAACAAATATTTATTGCATGTCAGAAAGGTACACAATTGTTTAACAGACATGTGTCAAGATTTAAATTTTGAAGAATATTTGAATTCATGCCTTTTCTCTGCTAATTCTTATCCACAAACACTAAAGATAATGGGGTCTTTAACAGACCATTCTGACACTAAGTGCACCTACCTCCTTCATCCTACAAGCAGCCTGTGGATCTGCATCCATTCACACCTGAAAAACATTTCGAGAGCCTCTAATACAGCAAAGTGATTTTTCTCTTTTCTTTGTCAGACACTTAAAAGAGATGCTGACTTGAAAAAAAATACAAGTGATTAGGAAACTATTCTTAAAATTGACTCCACAGTTATAAGCGTGGGTAAAAATAAAAATAAATATATCTAAATCACAGAATAGTTAACACATGAAATAAAAATGAACACTTTTTTTGCATTGAAGATCATTCTCTTGTATCTAATTTGAAGAGATACTTACCAAATACTATAACAAAGACTCACTTTCTGTTATAATAAGTAACGGATGTAGTCTTACCCATTTTGCCTGATGGATTTCAAAGCAGAAGAGTGACAGTCACTCCCTGTACTATCATTGAAAAACTTCATTATAGATCATTTGTTTCTTTAAAAAGACAGTTATATGCTTCTCTAAATGAGAAACATACTAGCCATGAAAGACTATTGTTGTAGCTGTTTTCCTGAAGTTCCATGTGCAGAATTACAAAACAATATTGAATTGGGAGCTCCTAAAACTACTGAGGAGAAAAAGGCCCCAGTGCCTGACTGGACTTTGAGTGAGAGAACTAGCTGGAGGACTTAGGTCTTTTACACATGCAAACTTCATGATAATCAGCCACCAGATCGAATTTTCTAAATACACATAGTCTCTCTTTATCCACTGGAAATAGATTTCTAGACGAGCCTCCCTAACAGTGTATGCCTGAAAGCAAGGATTGTAGTAGCAGACCTTATGTATGCTATGTTCTTTTCTATAGTTATTATAGAGGTTAATTTATAAATTAGGCACAGTAAGAGATCAATAACAGTAATTAATAATAAAATAGAATAATATAATAAGATACTATAATAAAAGTTATGCAAGTGTATTTGTCTGTTTCTCAAAATATTTCATTACGTTGAATTCACCCTTCTTGTGATGATAGGAGATGATATTTAAAGGAAGCATTTTATAGCTTCACTTTGACATATGCTAATTGTCAACATTACTACTCTTGAGATATGGGAGCCACTGTTAAATAATATAAGACTTATCTGAACACAAGTGCTGCAATATTATGATAGTCAGTCTGACAACCAAGAGGACTGCTGAGTAACTTACAGGGCAGGCAATGTATACAGCATAAATACACCTGATACAAAGATAATTCACATTCCTAGTGAGACAGAGCAAGATGATGCAAGATTTCATTATACTACTCAGACGCATGTAATTCAATGCTTCTGAACTGTTTCTTTCTGGAATTTTCCATTTACTATTTTCAGACCACATTTGACCCTAGGCAACCAAAACCATAGGAAGTAAAGTTCAGGTACGGGAGGACTACCGTAAAGCTCACCACATTCTTTCTACCTGAACAACCTCTAATGCTTTTCGATTACCTTGTGCATAAAGGTCAAATTTCAGAATTCATTTCTCTTTCTAACAAGTTCTATGTTTCCACCATGCCAAGTGGATCTCACACCCCAGACTTATGCTTCTTCCTTCTTTTAAGACATATTTCTTCCCCTTCTTTTTGGTACTGGTGAATTTATCACTCAAGAAAGAGTTCACTAATCTGATATCTCTTTGGGAAATCAAAATTACTTCTTTTTGCCTACATTGGATGAAGTTTTTGTCCTTCTTTGGATTGTACTAAATGATTGTCATGTCTTCTTATAATTACTTATTTACTCATTCAAGTGGACACACTAAATCTCTTCAATGACAGAAAATATGCTTTACTTAATTTTCCATCAGGTCCTCTTCTACCATATGATAGGAAAAAATCATATCATATGATTATAGCACATGATAATTGGTAAATATTTGATGAAGGAGTGAATCAGTGGATGAAAGAATCAGATCCAAATTCAGCAAATGATTTTTATCAGTGAGCTGCTGTGTAACTTTGGCCAGGTCATTTTACTTCTCTGTGTTCCAGATTCCTGATGAGAACAGAACATAGTAATTGCTACCTGCCATAGTGGAATGCCATGGGGATTAATGAAATAATTTTTATAAAGCAATTTGAGCTCTCTGAAAGAAAGCCACTATGTAAAAACAAAGTGTTATCATAATTATTGTGTAGCACTTTTCATCTGAGAATCTCAAAGCACTTCACCAAACATTAACTCATTAATCTTCCCAACACTCCTGCAAGAGAATTCCATGATCTCCACTTAGAAAGGGGAAACACACAGACAGCAAAAGGTTAAATCCCCAGCCCAGGATGCTGCTCCTTTCGAATCCCAAATCCAAGAGCAAGTTTCAGGACCCCAGCTCCAAGACAATCCTTTGAACATGGAAGCATTGCATTTTCCCTCTTGGCCTGGTACAGGGAAACATAGAGCTGCCCTGACTGTCTGGCAAAGATCCAGCTGGAATGAGAACTCAGGTTAATACCTTCCCTAGAAGAAGGGAAGGGAAGCAAGGGCTGGAAGGGAAGCAAGCCTATGACCACAGCCCTCCCCTCCACTGTAACAGCAAGAAGAAAATGTAAGCAACCCTACTACCCAGTGGCATATCCTCCTCCAGCAACTTGGGCTCTACTCTACATCTTCATCAGCCCTCTTTTAACTTCCCACCTTTAGGGGTTGTTTCTGTCTCCCAGCCAGAAAACATCTCATCACCTTTGAATACAAAGGTAGCAGTTTAGCAACCAGAAAAATAATCCTAAAACACCACATTCAAAGGAGCTTTCCCCACCTAATACTGTTTTTCCTGCTGAATCTCATGAATGTTAGCTGAGACAGGTGGTACTAATCCACCTTCTAAGAGGGAAAGGAAGAATGTTAGCTATTCTGCATATACTTGGAGGGAGTGCTATCATTTGGATTAAGATGTGTTACATCAGGAACATCCAGGGAAGTGGAACCATTTCTATTTATAGCCAACCAGAAAGGCAACATTTGTGCTTTTTTCACAAATGTTAAATTCATACTTCCTAGACATGATAGCCAAAAGGACTGGTCCGACTGTGTGAGCAAATTTGCTGCAAACATACACAGCATGCATGGAAATACCAGCATTGTGTCTAGAGGCCAGGTGAATGCAGCAATCATTATTCCAAGGATGATTCTTTCACAACACCCACTTCCAGGGAAAGCATTACATTTCATCTTGGTATAAAACTAGAAGGGAAGAGTTAATTCCTTATGATCAGCTTCATACTGACAGATTCTCTGTGACCTTGATTACAACAATGTCCCTCGATTTCCTTCATACTTGTGGCCTTTTCCTGGACTCCACTCACTAGCAAGTCCACTCCTCTGAAGTGAATCACTCATAAACTGACCACTATAAACATCTTAAACTCCTGGCCTGCTTTTCATGACCACAGTTGTCTTGACTTTCCTAACTTCCTTATACCTCCTGTATCTTCCTCATACCTCCTTGGGAGTCACCTATAGAAAAGACAACATGCTTTGGAACAAATTCTGTGACCTTAGGGAGATTCCTGAAACTCTCTGAGCCTTCTTTTGTAGCCTGTTAAATAAAAATCACAAGTCTTCTTTGAACATGTTTGAGAGATGATACACACACACATACACACACACACACACACACACACACACACACACAGTAGTTTCCAGAAAAGATTGGTGCCTTTGACTGACAGAACCTCCAAATGCTGAGCAGAAGATTGAATTCAAATTCACGTAGTGACCACCAGAGGATGAAATCTACTCACAGTGCCAAGACAGTCATTCCAGAAGATGTTCATGAGCAGAGGTTAGTCCTGGGCAGGACCCTGACAATGGAAATCCAGCAGATGGAACAAAGCAGGGTCTGGGAGAAGGTAGCATAGGTCATGGTCAAGGTGCAAATTAACAGGGAGTAATTTCCAGGCAGACTGGAAAGCAAGGGTCAAAAATCATCACAGGGACAGGAGTTTCACAATCCGAATCCCTGGAGAAAACAGAAATATGAGAGTCAAAGAACTGGGGGCTAGTCTAAGAACTGGGCCAGGAATTGTTTCCTTTGCTGGGTATTAAGCCCAGGGCCTTGCACATGCCAAGCAAACGCTCTGCCACTGAGCAATAATCCCAGCCCTTACTTAGGATTTAGGGAAAAAGTCTGCCTCAGGGTGATTTTAGGCAATCGGACGGTAAAGGTCAAAGAACCACTCCACAGAGCCACAACTACAGTATTAGCAAAAGCCCTAAATGGAAAGGCCAGTAGTTTCTCTGTAAAGGAGAAACAGACTCTTTCAAACTGCATTTTTCTCTACTGTTTCCTATTTATTCTCATGTATTTATTTCTCACATATCTCCCCACCATGCAAGCTCTTACCTGCCCAATCAGGTCCCTCAGTTCTGAGTCCTCTTAGATTTGCCTTTTGCTCCTTCTCTACCATCTTTTCATCTATAGACTTGGATATCGAACTTGAACTGTTTATATGGGACTGACTCAGAAGCCTCCGGAGAGATCAGACTCCTTTGTGCTCGCAGACACCGTTGATATCACACTGCTCAGTTACCAAGGGCACTCAGGTTCCCCAGGTTCTGCTGAACCCTTCCTTAGTCATCTTCATTCCCCATCAGGAAGAAAATCAGACAGTAGACAAGAATGGAGGTGAATTAATGGAGCTCCTGTAACTACCCAACCAGGAACAAGAGGAGGTCAAAGGGCACTAGCATGGGAAGCAGCATGGCTTGGATAAGTGTCCCCCAGAGGGCCATATGTTGAAGGAAGGCTTGGTCCCCTGCCCAGGGCCCTACTGGGGGTGGTGTAGAACCTTCAAGAAGGGGAACCTAGCAGGATGTCTTTGGGGGCAGATCTTTGAAAGGGATATTGGGACCGCAGACCTTCCTCTACCTTTCTTTTATGTCCGGGACATGAGAAAATCAATTTTGCCACATGCTGCTGCTATGATGTGCTGCCTCATCCCAGGCCCAAAAGCAAAGGAGCCAACCAGTTGTGGAACATACGCTTCAAAACTGTAAGTCAAAATGGATCGTTGCTTTCCAAAGATTTGTTTCCCCCAAGTATTCACAACAGTATTAGAAAGCTAACTAAGCCACTCTGAAGTGTTCACATCTCACCTCTCGCTTCCTTTCGAGCTTCCAGCCCACATTATAGAAGGCTGTCAGGTAAATACACCTCCATAGCCAATGGATCAAATCCATTATTGTTCCTCTCCACTTTCATTAGTGGAATTGACTATTTCCTACGCAGAGGGCTTAAGAAGATACTTTGTCCTTCCAAGTTGGGGGTTGAATATGCTCACAGTCGCACCTCAGGGTTTTTGTGTACCTGTGCATTTGCAGTGCAGGAAGGAGTCTTTACCACAAACAAAGATGACTCTGCAGCACTCAAAGGCCAGGTGGAACCCAATGTCAGTCCATTGCCAAGAGTTTGGTCAATGTGCCCCAGGCATTCCTGAACACAGCCTGAGTGGATTGCAAGTCACTTCATAAAGCAGAAGTGGCTAAGTTGGTAGCATTAGGGCCAAGATAATTTTAGGATATTCAACTGGTTTCAAAAATTAAATACTATACCCACTTGGTAGCTGCTGAGAAGAAATGGGAGCTTCAAAATAAACCAAGTTCAGTTATAAGGGAAGGGAAAAAGTATGAAGAATGACTGTAACTTTTGAAGTCACTGCATATCTCTGACAGGGTCCAGCAGACATTAAGTAATTAAATATTTATTGAATGAAAGACTGTTTGGTTTTACATCCAGCCCTCACTGCTCTGGGGTATTGTGTTTGTTGTGGGATCTCACTTTCTAGTTTATTTCTTCCCCCTCACCTGCACTATTTTGAATTCTAAGCAGTACATGACTTTCCAAGTGGAAAAATGCATTCCACTCAGTGACCCAGTACTGTGAACCAGCCGGCATTGTATAAGCACTTACTTAAAGGATGGGTCTTATGGGGCACCTCATTTCTCAACACAGAAATTAGAATAACCCCAGGTGGACCAGGTCAAATCTATACCAGAGGAGTCTGCCAACAGAGAGTGGTAACTAGAATCACTCCCATTTATCCAGTCCTTACGACGGGCCAGGCACCGTGCGAAGCCTGTCACAGGCTCTAATCTTCACACAGCAAGCAGGAACGCTACAGAGTCTCCTCTCACTGGGGCGGAGAATCACACAACGAGTAAGAGGCAGACTGCACTCTAAACCCAAGTCCCTCCGCTCCCTGGGTGGGGTTCTCTCCACCACACAACTCACCCCCAACGAAACAGTCTTTGCAGTGTTCTCAGTCCCTTTGTGGTGTGCACTTTGGTGAAATCTTTGCCAAGGTTCCCACATTTCTCAAAAGTTTCATTTCCAGCTCAGAGTCAACACAAGACACATTTTCTGTTGCAGCTTAGAAATACTCGGAGTAGAAAGGAAGAGCCTACACTATCAGGAAGCACTAAGAAAGAAGCCCCCTGCCCCCGCTTCCCTAGATAGAGAAACCGGGATATGGAAAAATATAGAGTTTTTAATTTCCAAATTGGTTTTTTACGAACAAAATTTACTCAACCAGAATGAACATGTCAAAATAGAGAAATCTCTATATCCCAGATTTGGAGACTCGAAATGTCATTGAAAATTAAGATATTTCTGAATGAAATGACTCTTCTGGTAAGTTATGTCTGAACATGACTGCTGGAATTTCAGATTTGACTGTAGGGAGATAAAAAATGCAGATGAGCTCCGCCTGGAGGGTCCCAGGCTGCGGGTTTTTCTGGAGAGCATGAAAGGAAGTTGAAGAAGCCGTGGTCTCATCCCAAGTAAATTAACCTTGTAGGAAGGGCCAGACTTCTTATTAATGCCAAAAAGTGCCCCCAGATGCTTCTGTGGCTCAGTCATTTCCAAAGAGTGCAATTTTACTTAGGAAACAGAAGAGTCCTTTAACATTTCCCCTTAACCAAACACAACTAGGTTAATTAGCACGTTCTTCAGGGCTGTTCTTTTTAGGGTGACAAATTTCTTTAAAAATTGAGAAAAAGAATAATTCTTTGAGCATCCAGACTGTGCAGCTCCTTTGCGTTCTACAACTTTTACTGGCATTGGAAATTCTCATCTCCACTTTGCCACAGTTTTAATCGCATACTAGACCTCTCTCCCTTCTTGTTTCAGAAGATGCAAGGGAGGCTGGGATCCAGGCTTCTTCACAAAGATGCCTGGTGAGTGTCTGCAGTGGGAGGTCTGCCTCTGTGTCCCAGGCTTTCCGAGTTCAGAGTTGAAGCTTTCCTTTACTGAAAGGGTAGATCTGCGATGTGGGTGTCACCATACAGGACTGGGATGATGCCAGTGAGGCCAGGAGGAGAAGGAGATGTGCGTTGGTCACGTTCTCATCCCTGAGACACAATTCCCAACATCTGCAATTTAAAGGAGAGCTTTATTTTAGCTCACCATTTCAGAGAATTCAGTCCATGGTTAGCTGGATCCAAGGCAAAAGCATCATTGTAGAAAGCCATGGTGGATGAAAGCTGCTCTACCTGTGGCAGCCAGAAAACAGGGGGAGAGGGGAGAAGGTGGAGATAAGAACACACCCTTCCAGGTCACAGCCCTAGTGACCACCTCCCACCAGGATCCACCCCCCAACAACACATTCAGCTATGAACTCATCAGTGGATGAAATCACTACTGAATATAGTGCTCCCATGATCCAGTCACCTTCCAAAAGCAACATCTTTGAATATATGAGACTTTGGGGGAACATAACAAGCAGGAAGCGAGACAAGGCAGCGGGGGATCAGCTAACACCAGATACTGAAGAGAAAATTCAGAATGCAAAGTCCACTGGACAGGTGGGCTTCAGCACATACTGTGATTCTGTGTAAGACAGGGTCTGAGAGAGGCTAAGAGCTTTTCATCTGTGGGATCCCACGCTAACTCTTGCATGACCATATCTTATTTAATAGTCTGTTAATAAGACAGGGCAGACTCAGCCTCCAAGCTTTCATTGTAGATCAAGAAATCCATGCTTTAAGCTAGTAGGCTCGGCTTTGAGATGCAGAGGCCCGGAAAAGGAGGGAGCCATCAGACCTCGGGCAAGAATGGTAGTCACACAATGAGGAAGAATGAAAGGGGGCCAGGCAGTCGGTGAGCGAGTGAGCAGCATGCTGCTAAGACAGTGTCTCCCTGTTCTCATTCTGCTTTTCTGCCTGGGCCTGAGAGTGGGAAGGGAGTGACTGACAAGTGTTCTGCCTCATTGTTTAAAGTTCTTGATTGCAGTTTCAACAGAAAGTTGGGTCCTCAGAGTTCTCCCGGCCCTGACAGCTGATTCCTGCCCAAGATTGGGCCAGGTGAGCAGCAAGGAGAAAGCTGTTTCTTTCCTGTCAGGCTTCACTCTCCTTAGCACCCAGGCTGGAGGCCCATTCTGTGAGAACCACATGAGCCTTGGCATTGCAGAGCCTGGTTCATTCTCACCCCATCATTTCATGGCCTTAGGAAGACGCCTCTCTGAGCCTGGTTCTGTCATTTATCCAATGGGCAGAGTGATTTCTACTCTCCCTTGTCTCAACATCTTCCTGAGGATAAAAAGACCCATTCGAGAGAAAAGTGAAATGTAATATGATGAGCAAGAGGGAGGAGGAGGAGGATGTGAGAGAAAATTATGTTTTCTCAATTTTCTTCTCAAAATGGAGATGGTGTTAAAAATGGTGGGAGTGGTGATAAGCAGCTATAATATATGAATTTGAAAGCTTGTAATTCATTCTTTTATGCATTCATTCAGCAAATTATGAAGTACTTATTATGTACCTGTCCTATATCTTAAACAGAACCTCCCCAGATGTTTGATGCTCCTCCAACAACATGCAGAACATTTTCCCAAGTGAGGTATTCAAAGAAATGGCTGGATATCAATCCAATCACATATTGAGAGTGGTATAGATCGGGATTTGTAATGTCGCTGAGTAAATGGACGCTTTAGTGAGCAGCCATCATTTCTTCTTTTAGCTCTATTAGCTTAACCTTAAAACTATGAGGTTGCTACACATGAATTTGAAAGAAAAAGAGTGTAAGAGAAGAATATAAAAAATCTGAATCTTTAAAGTAGTAATTCTCAAAGTGTG